AAAATTGTAACGATTAAAAATATGGTATTTAAAATATTTTATATATTGTATTCTCGAACAGTGATATAACCCTAACTTATAAAAATTAGTTTCTTTTTTTATTGTATATAAAATAAAACAATTTTAAAATATTAAAAATTATTATTGTAACTACTATGTATTATTATTTTACGCCCTTTAGATATCAAGCCTGACTTTTTTTATAAATATTTAATAATAGTGCGATAAATTGTATTATACAAAATTAAATATACAGAGCCTAAAATTTGAAAATTGTCTTTGAAAATTTATTGGAATTTAGTTCAAATTATTTAAATTATTTATTTAAAAATTTAAGCAGTCTTGTGCTTTGTGATATAAAGCTAGTTAGGAAATAGTGGATTAACATAAAGGAAGTGGATTTCTCTAGCCATGGCAACGAATAATTTATTTCCTAAAAACAAAAGAGTAAGTAATTAATCTAGTGGTCCACAGTAGACGTTTTATTCTCAGAGCTAACCTGTAATAAAAATAAAATATTATTTCTAGAAATAAATAAACCTTTAGAATCGTTAATATCCTTGTAAAAAGAGGGATAATAAAACCGTCACAGGCGCTAAAAAACTTTTGAACTATTTAATTGATGCTTGAATATTAGTCAAAGTTACGAGAATTAAAGGGGAAGTGCTAATTGCTCGTGAAAGCATCTTTAAATACATTATTTTTGGCATAGTTGTAAATCATAACCTTACTTTTATGGGAAAAGATATATATATGTACTTATAGAATCCATCTTTTTGTCTTATTACATTAAAATAATTGATATGATTTCACAAATGCATTGAAGATTTATGTTAAACATAAAGATTAAAGTACATAAGAATTATAAAATATTATGTTACTGCGTGTTTCAAACCTCATCTCATTGTTTTTATCTCATTGCGTTTTTATCTCATTGTGTTTTTATCTCATTGTGATTTTATCTCATTATGTTTTTATCTCTTTGTGCATTTATCATAAATATAATCTTATAAAACCGGTTCACATTTTTGTAATGAAGTAGAAAATATTATAAATAATTAAAAAATCAAAATAGAATGGTAAATATTTAACACTAAATGATAATGACTTCTAGCAAAAACTAATAAGCAGAAAAATTTATTATTATATATGCATACAGATCTATGCATATCTATTGCTAGTACAATTTTTATATTTAATAACAAAGTTATATGATCAAATAGTCAAATACCGAAGAAAAAATTTATTAATAATTAGAGAGGTTTTTTAATAATAGTAAATTACAACAACAAAATTTTATTACTTTATTAATTGTAATTTTAGCTGACCATAGATCTGTATTGTTGTTGTAATTTACTACCGTTTAAAAATATTTTTATTAAAAAAATAGTTTCTAATAAGAAAATAGTTTCTTTCATCATAGTTAACTTTAAAATCAAATTTATAAATATTATAATAATTATTTTTTTATTTTTTTAAACATTGTTATCGACATTAATTGTTTATATATAAATTTTTTTTTTACCTCGAATTACATTCATTTTTGTTGTAATGAAATGTATAATTAAAATATGTTTTTATTCACATATGTTTTGTATTATCAGAAATGCAAAACATATGTGAGAGTTCCGATGGTTAAAGTTGAATTCTAGAGAATAAGGCAGAAACATATTTCAGGTGTTGAAAACCATGTGAATCCGCTAGCTAGACCTCTTGCTAATATGACAACTTCCTATAGACTGAAACGGAATGATAGATCCTCCATCCTGCTTTCCAAAAGATCATTCTGATTAATTCAACTTATAAGCCGTGGTATTGTACGCCTGGTAAATAATTCCCGGCTACTTATTTAGAGGCCCCTTGAAATAATTTACAAATGATTATATATATACAAGTATATTATATATATATTCTTATTTAGAGCCCCCTTGAAATAATTTACAAATGATTATATTATATATATGATTATATATATATATATATCATTGTAAAATAATTTATGTAAAATAATTTGTAATGTAATGTTATTAGTCTTTAAGACTCTAAAACTTATTGTTAGGTTTTAATTTAAAGCAGATCAATAAAGATATATTGTTAAATAAAAAAAAAATGTTTTATATTATTTAAAGTAAAATAAAACAAGAAACGTTTATATGTATTTGGTGACAAAAAAAAATACAAATTATTTTTTTGCGATCCTTTTAAAAATATGCTAATATTGTTTTTACATGATTTACACGATTTTTCTTTTAAATACTTATAAATTTATTTATTGTATTTTCTCTTACAATGAGACTAACAATAAAGTTTTAAAATCTATCTTATCACTAATTACATAATGTTACAATTTTTTATATTAATTATAAATTGTATAATATAAATACAAAGTGATTTGAATTTGTATGATGTATGTATGATGACTGGTATATTTATAATTTTCTTATATTTTGAAATGTTTATAATTTCGTATTTTAAAAATTCCCTTTGAAAATTTTTTCAACAGTCAAAATAGGGAAATTTTTACATATTTTGTTCAATGGTATGAAAATCAGCTGATTATGCTGATAAATGTAAATAAAAAAAATACATAAACAAAACAAGTTTTAAGTTAAACTCTTTCTAATTATTTAGTGAGTACGTAGAGATGAATTCAATTGCAAAATAATTTTATGTATGAAATTTAGACATAAAGTTAATAAAAAATTTTCTTCCCAAATTTACATGCTAACTGAAACATTGGATCAAAGGTCAATCGATGGTGCTAAGAAACCAATCGGAAACGAATATAAAAAAAATTTATATAGTGGCTTATCATAAATCAGATTAAATCTACTAAATACTAAAATTAGTAAAATAAGTTCAATGGAATAAAATTCTTGTTCGTTATCCGTCAGTGATTATTTTGCAAAATTGTTAAATGCGTTTGTGTTATGTACAAAGCAATTACGTCTAAACAAGTTTGCTAATATTTAATTACAAAAGTACGCTTTGTCCGTTTAGTATTCGTGGAGATTTAAGCGTGAATGGTTGAACGGCTACTTCCGAAATTTTCTTTGAATTCTGAACAATTATTGTGAAAATAAATTAAAAAATTATCGCTAAAAAAATGGTCCCAATTGATACGGTTAACCCTGATTTACAAAAAGAGCGCCATAGCGCTACTTTTAGTAGCAATGAATTTTCAGTTTGGTGGGCGGGTGGCCCAAAGAAATATGAAGAAAAAAAGAAACTGGGTGAGTGTGAAATTTTTTGAGTTTCTACATTATTATATCTAATTTTTAGAGCTACATTTAAGCTAAAAATAATATTAGCTTTCTTAAAAAAAAAACGTTAATAAGTTAAAGGGATTGAGTAATAATCTGGATAATACATGTAATTATTGCATGTGTAAACATATTGACTGTACCAGCTATTAGAAAAAAGATCTGTTGTCGGCAAGGTAATATATGTATATAACATATAATTACATTTACTTTTTACTTCTGAGTTAAGTACTTGCTTTGAAACAATTAAATGCCTACTAATATAAATAGTTTTATGTTAATAGCTTATAATTTAAATAATGACTTGCAAATTTAATAATATAAAATTAATATGTCTAATTAAAATATTATTAATTTATTAGTAGTAAGCCTAAAAATAAATAAGGAGAATATCTAATTGTTCGTTTACCAAAAGCAATTATAAAATGGTATACTTAGGCAAGAAATTAGTTACTAACGACGTTATTTCTGTTTCTAATGTCGTTTCATATATGTTATGATAAGATATAGCATGATAGATGTCAAAGACTTTAGTATACCATTCTTCTCTCTAATAATCTAAAATCATTTACAACTATTCCTTGATACAATATCCAATTTAAAAAAGTTGAATCCACTTATGAATTTATAGGTTGACAACTCCAGATTTAATCGAAAAAAGTAGTATATTATGTTAAGGCTAGTTGAGTCAGTGCACTTGAGCACTTTTACTCTCTATTAACCGCTAGGTTTCTTCATAACCACTCTCTACGCCTTGACTGAATTATTGTTTATCACTTCATCAGATTTAGCAATAATTGACCTCAAATCTGCATATCTCTTCGAGGAGCCTGTAACCCTTATGAGATTCGATAACGCCGTGTTGGTAAGCTTGTCGTAAATACCATAATTAGAGTTCCTTATTCTTTATGTATTTTTTAAAATTTCATATATTTACATGTATAAAAACACAGGTTAATTGCTCAATTTAGTAAAATGAAAATTATTGTTGTTAATATTAATTATTTATTTATTTTCATTCCAATATTTTGAATATTATTATTTCAATCTTAGAGGAACTGATATACTTGCATGAGATATATATTAAAAGACTCTTCCGGCATATTATCTTACCATACAGTTCGTGCAAAGTACAATAATAAAAGCTATATATATATCTATCGGTTAGTCTATCGATAACGTATACATTTATTATCACCTGTTGAGCATTACGAACATACGTACATGTTTATGTGTAAGACTAATTATCACATTAATATACAAATGTACTTAATGAGTATTAAGTTATAGTAGAGCTACTAGTTTCCTTATTATTAAAAAAGCAATTATATATAGTAAATTATAAGTAATAGTACAGTAGTGCTGACACACAATACATACGTGACCTACACCATGCAAGATACAAAGTTCTTAATATTTGTCTGCGACTAACATTTAAAAAATTTCTCAGTTCTAAAAATTTTATATCTAATGCCATCTATACTTGCTTTTAATAGATTTTAATATAACAATATAAATATACAATTTAATTTATTATAAATTTTTAATACATTTTGCACTGTTGTGCATTAAGAAGGGCATATTAAGTTAGTCAAGATTTTTGTAACAAAGTGGAGAAGTTACAGATTATATGTATAAACATAGATCGAATGTACAGCGAATCGATTTTTTGATATTCATTTATTTTTCTGCCTCACTATTTTGACCGAAGCACTTTCAATAAAATACAATTCGATTTCTTTGTAATTATTCAAAAATTATAAATTATTTAAATATGTGAATCGAATATCAAATGATTTTCAATAATAGCCAATAATAAATGTTCTAATTAAATGTATGTATATTGTCATGCATGTTATACGAGTACCTATGTCAGATAGGTATGTCAGTAATTCGAATAAATGCAGTTGAAACTGAGTGAGTGCTTGAATCTAAAAATAAGTCTAATATTTATAAAAACAGAGAGATTTAGTTCTCCTTGATATTGTTCCACGTATCATGGTGTGCAGTCCACAATTAGTTGTTGCTTCTGTTATGCCTCTAACTTTACAAATAACGAATTGATATTTCTAACCAACGAATTAATTTCGAATGAAGTGAATGCTTGTATCTATATGTTTATGCTAAAAGTATTTAAAAAATTCTGAGCAAATAAACAGTATGTCAACGAATATTAAACTAGCTTGTAAGCTGAAGGGGTTAATATAGATCTATTCCTTTTTATATACTCTAACAGGTTCCAATAGATCTTTGTTTCTTGTATTATTTATTTGAATATTTTAAAGTTTCTGTTATTTTGATAGCATAATTTAAATTAATACTAATTAAGACTCTATTACTTTTGTGGCTTAATTCTAATGAATTCTATTATTAGATTTGAATAGATTTGACTCACATTAATATTTGCTTGCTAGTAGCCAATAAAATAAATAAAAAAAACTTTATTTTCTATTTATTTTCTATAATGTCGTTTTGGAAAAACATTCTACTATAACGGAATAAAGTATTTTAAGCTGTTTTAAGCTGTATAATTAGTTAGTTGTGGTGGAGGGAGGAACGAGTCCTCCTCAATTAGCTACAAAAGCCTTTTTGAATTCACAAAACCTCGTAATAGTGGGTAGTAGAGAGAAAGTTAAACTAGAACCAGCTAGAGGCATTTATAAAGTCAAGAATCTGCATGAGAGACATCGCCGAGAGCGTTGAAGAAAGGGGTCTCCAGAAACTTAAGCCTAGTTCTGGCCAAACCTGGACATAGACACATCAGGTGTTCTGGTATTTTTTCTTCCACAGCTGGTAGAGACGCATTGCAGGAGATAGGGTAGGTCAAGTCTAGCTCCATGCCGTCCTATGGTGCCAGTGCCTTGTAAAGATAGATATTAAAATAGATAACTCTGATTTGCTTCTATGTATTAAGTCAGAGGTTCAACATTTGGAATAGATTGGCCAGTAGTCCTCGACCTGGCTACTGAGGCGGCAAGGTACTTATTATTATTTTATGAAGAAAAAAAATTAAAGGAAAGTTTATTTAAATATCAATTTATAAATACAAAATATAAAAACAAAACGTGAGAAAAATCTAGATTTGTTATATAATTTTTCAATGAATAAAATGAACTTCAAATTCCAATTGACTACATAGATTAGTATATAGATTATAATATATTTGATTGAGTAAAATAACTTTTCATATATTTAATCTAATTTTTATTCAATTTCAATCTCTTACGAGTATTAATATATTACTATGACTTTATAAAAAAAATTAGATTTTTTGTTTTGTAAAATATTTAGAGACCCGGTTTATTATAAATGTTGCTCCAGAGTTCAAAAGCTGTTGACTCATTTAAAATTTCGTATGTATCTGAAAATTATATACGAAGATAATAGAGAGCAAGTACTTAAGACCTTTGTACCTTGAAATTGATGCTTTTCATTTGGAATTTATCAACATTTTTACTAACCAATTTTCCAAAGAAACTTGATAGGCAATTACATTATATTTATATGTATAAATATATGTATATGTATATAGTAGTATTCATTCATAATCGCTCTATTAAATGTGCACTAATATCCGTCAGATTAAAAACAATTATACAAAATAAATTCAAATGTTGAACTTATCGCTTAAACATTTATGGTGTGCTAAATTTTAAGTACATTCAAGTTTTTTAATTCAAATATATACATAGATACATTGATTCATAGACTGATTAAAAAATAAAAACAATAATTTGTAACATTAGTTAATAAAATTATTATTATGACTGTAGTCAATATATTTAGCAATAAAAAGGAAAAATAATTGTTTAAATATTTTTTAAAAAAATAATAAAAAAAGGTAATATTTATTCTTGTCAATTGGAATGGAGAGCGATAATAGGGAAACACCCGGTTTTTCTTTCAAAATTTCTACTTAAGGTTCCATAATTTCTAATGAAATTTTGTAGGTAAAAAATAGATACGGACAATAATAACAGTAATAAAAAAAAGTCAAGTGTAAGGATGATTGAAAGAGTGAAAATGTTATATTCTGTATATATCTTTAAAAGAAATTGCACCTGTATAGGAGAGCAGCAACAATACAAACTTTTGAGTGAAGTTGTCTCTCATAAGACCCAATCTTTTATTCTAAATATTTACTTATAAAGTTGGATTGGATTTAAAAATATCGAATATAAACTTTTTGTAAAGGTTTGGGATACTATCTAGGGTCGCACGCTATAGATACACATTATGCCATTGGTTTTTCGGTCTCAGTACATCTGGTTGCAGATTAATATTGATTTCATTATGAGACATGCCTTTGTTATTTTGTTAGGTATACATTGACATCTGCAGATTTTGTAAAACACCTACTTAAACTGATATATTGTAGCTGAACATACTTATGTTAATTAACGTTTTTGAGTTCTGGAATTAAAGCACGCAGACATCAGTAGAATCTACTGATGTCAGGACGTCTATATAAAATTTCATGTGTTTGGCAGGAATCTTTAGTCCAGTGTCTTTATTTAGGTGAAATCTGGAATCTGACACCAAGATGTTCTTAGATCAGCTTAGAAGACTTCACCTGTGGATAAATCAGTAGAGGCTCGTAGTATACACTTATCCTAATAATTAAATATTATGAGTTTTCATTAGATAATAATATAATATAGTTATAGATATAAGATATTATAGCTATAAGATTTCTATTATTGGTAAGCTGAAATAAAAGCACCTTCGCCTATCGTATTCTGTTTAAAAAAAAATATCTGACTAATTTTTGAAATTCTGTTGCTAATAAAAAGAAATAAATTTATCAAAGTTACTAACTATTACCTCCAAAAATTTTTTCAGAAAAACTCTTTCTTGATGATCCGACTTTGAAGGATGATATACCAATTTCCTATATGTCACATAAGGAACTTTATGAACATAGTGTAAAAAAAGCCACCATAATCGCACAAAAAATACGTCAAATACGTAATGACGGCGAAGATAGTGTCGACGTCTATAAGTATTATAAAGATCATATATATTAATTCATGAGTAATAATAAATATTCTTCTTTTAAAGTGCTATACTTGGTGGTTCACTCGGTTCTGCTCTCATTAAGGAAGGTAACCCGATGACATTACATTTTGTAATGTTTGTACCGACAATCATGGGTCAAGGTATTCTTGTAATTATAAAATCAAATTCAGTCTCCAAATAACAATATATATTCCTCTACAGGAACCATGGACCAACAAATGGAATGGTTACCAAAAGCATGGGATTGCTCCATAATTGGTACTTATGCACAAACTGAGTTGGGTCATGGCACCTTTTTGCGTGGGTTAGAAACACGTGCTGACTATGATGCTTCTACACAAGAGTTTGTTTTGAATACTCCTACACTAACTGCCTACAAATGGTGGCCTGGTGGTTGTAAGTTTTATTAAAAATTATAAATTTTATCTTAAACCTATTTAATAGTATTTTACTTTCCTTAACTCCAGTGGGTCACACTGCAAATTATGCAATTGTTGTTGCACAACTTTATACGAAAGGTGAATTTCGTGGTTTGGCTCCGTTCATAGTGCAATTACGTGACGAGGAGACGCATGAACCATTACCTGGTATTGATGTTGGCGAAATTGGTACCAAATTGGGTATGAAATCAGTTAATAATGGTTACTTGGGTCTAAAGAACTTGCGTATTCCACTTAAAAATATGCTTATGAAAAATCAACAGGTACCATATTTGTGTAGAGTTATGAAATCAACACTAGGTTTAAAATATTAAAACATCTGATCTGCAGGTCCTTCCTGATGGCACATATGTAGCACCTAAGAATACTGTTTTAACCTATGGCACTATGATGTTCGTGCGTTGTGCTCTTATACGTGATACAGCACAAAGCTTAGCGAAAGCTTCAACAATTGCCACACGGTATTCAGCCGTGCGTCGTCAAAGTCCAATAGATCCAAAGTAAATAGATTTTATTTGCCTTTCAGATTTATTTTTTCAACTTGAATTTATTTGCAGTCTACCTGAACCCCAAATAATGGATCATACCACACAACAATTAAAACTATTCCCACAGATAGCTAAAGCAATTGTTATTAAAACTACAGGCGACAATGTATGGAATATGTATAGCAATGTGAGTGGTGAATTGGAACAGGGCATTCTTGAGCGATTGCCTGAAATGCATGCACTATCATGTTGCTTAAAGGCAATCTGCAGTGCTGATGCAGCTAGTGGTGTTGAGCTCTGTCGCTTGGCTTGTGGTGGACATGGCTATATGGATTGCTCCAACTTTCCTACCATTTATGGCATGGCTACAGCTGTGTGCACGTATGAAGGAGAAAATACTGTGATGTTATTGCAAACGGCACGCTATTTGGTTAAAGTCTACGCACAAGCTTTGAATGGCGAAAAATTGGTACCAACGGTTGCATATATTAGTGAAGCTGTAAAAGAAACAGAATTTGTCAACTTCGATGGTTCGCTACAGAGTATTGTAAAAGCCTTCGAATTTGTTGCTGCAAAGTGTGTATGCTTAGGAATTAATTTATTGATTTATTTAAAATATATAATTATTTTTCAGTAAAATACGTATTGCCTATGAACGTATGGAAAAACTCCGTAAACAAGGTTATGGACAAGAAGTAGCTGCGAATATGTGTGGCATTGAACTAACACAAGCGGCCGATGTATGTTTAATTATAATATATAAATTTGAATTATATTTTATTTACTAATAATAATTGCAGTTGCATGGACGTGCTTTCTTAGCACTTTCTGCTTACACAGAACTACTAGCGATCGCACGTGGTGTCTCCAATGCAATGGGTGATGTTTTAAAAACTATTCTAGAATTGTATTTAATCGATGCTTGTTTAAATCGAATTGGCGATTTTTTGAGAGTAAGTAATAGTTATACTCGTATTTTTAGTTAATTATTATTATTAAATGCAATAGTTCTAATAACTATTGCTATTAAAAAGTGTTAAATAGTATTAACAATGGATTATATTCCTGTAAGAATGGCCGAGTCTACGTCCTGGAACCACTCATCAATTTCGACAAATAAGTGCTGTGCACCACCCTCTAAAATCACCACAGAATTCCCGTGGGCTAGAAACAACAAAATTTTCCTCCATACCCATTTTGGTACTTCTTTAAGATCACATTTGCATTCCAACGAAGTTTTCACTAACATATGCTTTAAATTTCTAGAGGTAAAAGAAGCCTGTCCGTGTAATAGGAACTGCCCTTGCACAGTTGAGGTCATGTTATATTGGGGATAGATGTTATAAGCACATCTATCCCTAATTTATTCCCAAATTCCACCTCCACTTTTCATAACCTTGTCCATCTGTTAAGGTGTCTTAACTTAGACATAAATTTTGGATCTATTGATTTATAGTTAAGTCTTATTGAAGTGACAACGTTTCTTTACCTTAATCCTAGTTAGCTTCAATTATCACACTTACATCCCATCACTTTTTGTCTGTTTTTTCTATCAATATTAAGAATAGATGCTGATTTTTCTAACCACTTTTGTCGTGGATGTAGCTTTGCGAATGAAGAGGAAATTATACTCCACCTCATGTATTACTGCAGATTATTAGTTAGATTCAAAATTTTCCTGACCCCTTTCCTAACTAACAAAGCTGTCATGCGTTTGCATTAGGGATATCTCCAATATCATTGACTTGTCAGATTGGTTCCCTTCTACTAAAATGGAAGAGTCGCACCTTTTCAAAGGAACACTATGCATACACTAGTTTTTAGGGATTTCTATCTTTAAAGTGTTTCTTCAGGCCTGATGTATAGAGTGTGTTTCATCCATAGTCTGATTCTGGAGTTTTGGTGTACGAGGTTGTCAATACAGCCTAATTTAATCTATTAATCTAAAGCTATTTTATATTATACTAATTTCGATTTTTTTTATATATATTACAGTTTATCAACTTCAGTGGAACTGAAATAGATAATTTGGAAATACGTTTGGAGAACTGTTTGAAACAATTACGACCGAATGCAGTTGCTTTGGTGGATGGTTTCGATCTGCATGATCGTGTATTAGATTCAGCTTTGGGCGCTTCAGATGGTAATGTTTACGAACGTATATTTGAATGGGCGAAAAAGAGTCCCTTAAATACCGAATCTGTGAATAAATCATTCCATCAGCATTTGAAGCCATTTATGAAAGCTAATTTGTAAGAGAAAAGCAAATTTGTAAAAGAAAATCCAATGTCTTCAAAAGTATTCTACTTTCTCTGTAAGAGATTCCTTACATTATTAGGCAAATATTTTTAAAATAACTTTTTGTAAATGAGCATATATGCAAATATTGTTATAGTTTTAAAACTTTAGTCCACTTACATATTCTTTGTAAATATTAACTAAACATTTGATATAAATAATTTTGTGTATAGAATAAATCTGTTTATATTTTTTATATTAAATGCTTGAAGCATGTAGTATTGTTTTGTTACTTTTGTAAAAATGAGATTTTATAAATTTATTTAAATATTGGGAAATAATTTAGATAGTTAATAATATATTATATTGCATTTTGGTTGCTTGTTAATGTGTTTTTATTTTAATTGTAAAACAAAAATGTTTCTTTCCTGCATAGAAAAACATTTTTACTTTATAGAAAATACATTCTTACTTTATATAAATGATAGTTTTATTTTATTATATTATACAATAAATTTATATAAAATACAAGTTTTTTATTATACATGTCCCTGTTCTAGCTACATATTCTTCAAAATTTGGCCACTCAATAAGTATTAATTTAAAATTATTTTGGTAATTTTTATAAAGTACAGCTTTACGAAATGTATAAGTAATTAAATTTGGAAGTTTCAAACAAATTCTTATGGTTTGAAGAACTGAATTGTTATACTTAAAATAGACTTAATTTACTTATATGTTTTAAAAACAACAAAATACAAAATAGTTTGAAACATTTTTTTGCAACTATTAAACCTGAGTTGGATTATGATTGTTTTAACGAAAAAATTTTCAAAAAAATACTTGCGGCGTTGGTCCTTTTTAACATTTTGAAATTATGTTTCGTATTCTTCATATTACTTAAATATCTATTTAAATTTATTTTAATTACTAATATTTTTTTAAGCAAATTGCGCACTTGTTAGTATGCTTGTTGTGGTAGTTTCGTTCTCTTCATCGCTAGCGTTTTGATTAAGTTTTTCAAAGCCATTGTGTTTACTTCGATCTAAAAGTAAACCGCCCAATTTAAAACCTTCCGACTTTGCAGGGAAATCCCAAGCATGTCGTCGATTTTTCACACCGAATGGTAAACAACCTAAAAAATATTTCATTATTAGATATCACATAAATACACAATAAAGAAACATATAAATTGAGAGCACATATAAGCAGAAATTAAAATAAAAATATAAATTCATGCTTAAGAAAGTTGAAAATAAAAATAAACATTATACCTTGTGTTTTAAAATGAAAACTTTACTTGTACATCAATAATGTGCTAAAATAGAAAAATTAAATTAAAAAAAATTAAATCATTTGTTTCATAAATTTATTTCTTATTGATTGTATAAAAGCTGCGTTTTTGAGTTTATATATACATATAAAAATTTAAAAGTATTAAAGATTCATAAAATCAGTCAGTAAATATTAATTAAAATTAAAAATTTTGTAAAAAATATTTCGGATTTAATAGTTAAAATTCTTTTGATGCTGCCAGTTATATAAACAAAAACTTTATATCTAAGTTTTAAAATATTTTACACCTTATTAATTATATATTCAATATAAAATTTTTAGAAAAAATTCATAATAATAAAATATAATATTAAAACAATATATTCAGTTGCTAGTACAATACTGAAATTGTGATGTTATATATTATGTGATTTGAAGTTTTTTAATTTTCATTGTAATTACATATAAACTTATATTTATAAATTTTCATCACAAGCAGTTCAATTGGTTAGAACAAAGATACTAACTAATCAAATGCACAAAGTTTACAAAGGAGGAGAGAACTACTAAATCTTTAAAGATTTAAAGAAATTTACAAGCTCTTGCATAGATGGTAGAATTAAACAACAAATATTAGACTCACATAGCTGACAAAATACATTGAAATTATGATAGATTGAAATCTTTTTTATAAAAATATTTAAAATTAAACTAAAGTATACAAATACAAAAATAAAAAAAACTATCAATAAATAGCGTATTGACTTAACACATACAAATTACATAATTTTTTATACACACATATAAAATAAAACAATTTAAAATCTATTACACCATAAATCTATTACAAATAAATTGAAAAAAAAAACTTATTGAAACGGAAATAAAATATATATTACGGAACATTACATTTTAATAAAAGAACTAATAAAATTATAGATATGTTGTAAAAAAATTAAAAAAAATTATATAGTATTGTTTAGGGACAATCATCGCAAACATTTTGTGAGGACGCAACTAATTTACGATATACCAATTCACTTGGCTGTCCAACATTAAATTCTGGATTACCTCGTTTACGTCGGCGAGCAATTAGAAGTGCCAGCCCAAATGTGAATAAAGTAAATAGTAGCATTAGGCTCGCTACTAAAATTGCAGTACCGCTAGGATGTCTACCTGCTTTATTTGGCAATGTAGTGTTTTCATTTGTTGCGTTTGTGGTTTTAAATGCAGCTTTTGCAATTTCATATTCTGGCCCAACACCGGTTGTTGCTGTAGGTTTCTTAGACACAGACATTGAAGCTGTATTTGCAGCAGTTGTGTGTACAAATTTATGTATACGCGTTGGATTTAATTCCGCAACATAGATTTCGTTGCCATCTTTAGTGACTGCTACATCATGCGGATTTTCGAATTGTGAATTATTATATGGTCCAAATTTAGATACAACATCTTTTGTTTTCATATTCATTATATAGCCGCGTACTTCATTGTAGTGATTTGGATTCATACCCAATTCTGCAGTGGGTCCATTAACAATAACTAATTGGCCACCTTTAAGATATATTGATTGTTTTTAATAATTTTTAACTATATATGTTTTTTATATATATATTTACCATTAGCTGGTGTATAATCCATACTAAATAGACGATCACCAATAATTTGATTATGATATTGTGAGTGAAATGTTCCATTTACCCAAAAGAAACACTGTACACGACCGTTTTCTCTATCAGCAGTACAGATTAGTTCTTGTTCTGGCACTAATGTGAGCGCATGTGGTATTGCAAAAAAGTTCTTAGGAGCGAACTCATACGAATCACCTTTGGAATGAATTAATATATTAATTGTTTTGTATTAGTGCACTTACAAAAAATATTACCTGCAAACGAATTTTGACCCCATTTATTTATCATTTCACCATTTGGCGCATATTTAAGTATGCGTGCGTTACAATAACCATCCGCAACAAAGAAATCACCATTTTCTAATACAGCAATTGAGGTGGGTTTGCAAAATTTCGAATTACCATTACCGGGTGTAAAAGCTGTTCCTAAAATCATTAAGGGTTTATCATTTGAACCGGCTGGTCCAAATTTAAAAACTTGATGTAATGCTACATCAGTTACCCAAACGTTATTCTCATGATCAACTGTTAGTCCATGTGGCATATAAAATCTATAACAAAGGTAGAATGTAAATGAATTATATTTATATAGTTTATTATAGAGTGTAATAGCTTACAATTTCCGTCCCCATTCATAGACTAATTTTCCACTTTGTCTATCAAATGCTAAAACAGTGCTATTTATTATAGGGCCTTTACGCTTTTGTTGAAATATATTTGCATTGTCGAAAGTGTCCTGATCCCAAACACGATCGACTCGGTGGAATATAACTACGTTACCATCCTTATCAAAACTTACAGCAGTTACAGAACCAAGATGTATATTTGTTTCAGGCCAGGAACTTTGGTGTACATAAGCTGAAAATTATGTTATAGTAATACTTTAAAGAAAGTAAGTTTAATTGTTCTTACAAGTGTTTAGTTTTGCAATTTCTTCTTTTACGTTTATCTTCTCTGATTTAAGCTTTAAGGCTTGCGGCCAAGTCACATCGGCACTACTCCCCTGCATAATTTGTTGAAAGCGTTTATTTACATTACGTGTTTCCTCATCTGGAGCAAGTGGAAGATATCTTTGCGGACTAGGATGCTAAAATATAAATATTTATAAAAAAAGAAGTCAATCCATATAAACTATACATAGATTATTAAGAGAAATGCAATTATTATTTAGTTAATACTATATAAGATAGAAAATATTATGGTTCCAAGAACGACCGTCAATTTCGACTATCAAGTGTCGTTCAACAGACTCTAAAGGGATTTTGCAAGCAGATCTCAGCGGGTTACTAAAACAGCACCAACAGATGACATATACTATAAGAACTTCCAAAAATCGGCAGGGTCTACGCCTCGGAATCACTCTTCGAGTTCGACCACGAAATGTCGTTTAACACAACAATAACAACAATAGAAGATCTCATATACCATAAGAACTTCCAAGAACGGCAGGGTCTACGTCTCGACGTCATCCGTTTAGCTCGACGACGAAGTACCGTTTAAAACTTCTTTGAATAATTTTAAACGGAGGAGGAGTGCCGTTCAAAGTGGACTATACACGCAGGTCTTTGAGGGCTACAACAACCATTAGAACAACATATATATTTGAATAGATTGCATTGTTCAGAGCAAACTAAATTCAGCATTTGATTAAAGCGAATAAAACTTTGTTTACAAACTTTTTATCAAAGTACATTTAACTTTTGTTAAAAAATAATGGAATCAGTTGAATATAAATTGTTTCATCTATCAAAAAATCAAATATGTGGTGATTTTCGAGGTATTTAATTAAAAATGTTTACTAGTCTTAATTTCGATTAATTTAGTTATAATATCAAAACAAAATTAATTTATTATTTTTAACCTAGATGTGTGTCAGCGGAGGGGAGCTACCGTTTGGATATTAGTTATACATCGTAAGAACAGACATTTTTAGAATGCATATTCATTAATTTTATAAAACATATGTGTAACAAAAGTATGCAGCTTTAGCCAAGCCAAAGCAAACATATTTTTTTTGTTTATTTTGTCATCAGTTAATACACCTGTTACATTATGACAATTATTACACCCACTCATTCAAATATGTATACTTAATAAATTTACTGCCGCTCAATGACGTCTGCGTATCAAACATTTATTTAGAGAATAATTTTGTTTGAATACGTCACAATATATAATCAATACATACAAATTTAATTCAACATTTTCAGTGTTTGTAGAATTAGCGTAAGCCAAAAACTGAACATATGGAAGAATTATT